CTTTTGTCATAATGAGAATTTTGTAGAATTTTGTAGAGTGACTCGGAGGTATCTTTACTCTTTGTCTGAAATTTGTGGATCAACTGAAGTTGATTTGTGAAAGGAAAAAAGAACAATAAAAAATTTTGGTTCAATGGACTGATTTGTGAAAGAGTTGTGGGGATTATGGACATTCTTGGGAGAATCAAACTGGAATTTGGGATTAGCAGTCACTACAAGAAAAAGGGTTAATAGAGGCACTACATAGTGTCTTCATAAATATGCTATAGTGACATAAAACTTTTAAAGGCATTGATTACTTGTGTGGTATATACTCATGTCACCATAAGTCTAATGATTTATTATGACAATTGTAAGTGTCATTAAAACTAATTCCTTATATTATTATTTAGCAATTTTTTTTATCATTTGATAGTCAGGAAATTTAATTAACTTTTTACTATTTATTAACTTTTTACCATTTAACTATTTATTATAAAATAACTTTTTACATCATAGTATTATTATATCTAATTAACTTTGCAGTGTTTAATCATTTATAAGTGTCATCATAGATCTTTTTATAAAGGCATTTTTACTACAACACAATTTTCAATATAAAAAAACAATTTATATATATAAATTAACGATTGACTATACTATACGAAATTTGAAGAGTTTAAAAGGATGACCATAAATAATTCACGTGTCTTACAATCCAAAGTACATAAAATAAAGCTTTCGTCACCATATGAACAAAGTCTTTATCCTCGTATACCACCTTCAGATCCACAACATTATGGTACTCAAATAGCTTAGTCATAATTTCAGTTTAACTTCTGACATCTTCCTGGGTGACCAATCTATCTTTGGATACTGATTTGCAAACCAGTAATTCTCCAGTGATATGCCAAATTGACCCCACCCTGACCCTAGAACATACATATCCTTCAAATTTGATGTCAGTTGAGTGCCTGAAATTGTTTCCTTCAAGCTTTTGCATAAAATTCCCATAAGAAAAACTTTACCATTTTGACTCCAAACCTTTAGAAAGTGGATGCCATAGTTGTTGCCTTGGGGTTGACAATTGTGAACTGTGAAGCTATGATGGAAAAAAAAAACTTTAAAAGTCCATAGTTGCTGGTTTGCTGCCTTCGGCTCCTACTGATGATTTGGAAACCAATAATCCAACTCCTAAACACACCACCCATATCCCCACGTCCATCGCCCATCCTACTCCCCCCACCTCCACCCCTCACACTATTCCCCACCGTCAACCACCTTCCATTCACTATCACCACCATCACAACAACAACACCATCCGCTCTCAATTTCTCTCTGCTCAGGAATCTCCTCCAAAGACGAACACATCTCTCTCATCTTAGTACTCTTGCATGTTTTCTTGGTCTCCCCCCTCCCCCCGTCTCAAGAATAATCTCAATTTCCTCGTTTTTACCACCAAAGTTGATGGCATGGCAGCAATTTCGAAGGCAGCTTCCGCGGCGGTGGCACCCAAAGGCTTCCGGGCTATTCTCTACCGAAAGAACTTCGGCACTATAAACTACTTTTGTTCCACTTAAGAACACCTCCGTTGAGGACAGTGGAGATATCAAAACGTGGAGATTGAAAGAGGCCACGATTGAAAAAGGGGAGAACAACCTCCTCCGCCGACAGCTAAAAAGAATAACCATGAATTGAGGGATTAAAAAAATTAACCCCCCGGACCAAAGGCATTATTTTTGCAAGTGGGGGTTTCAAAAGTTAGGTCCGAGAGTTCCATTTACTTTTTTCTAAAAAAAAATATTAATTAATTATAACTGAGTTATTTTTTCACTTAGTTGATTAGTTTTTTTTTTTTGTTTCTTTTTACAAGTGCATCCTTAAGTATGTCATTAAAACTTTAGTATACTTAAAAAAATTTAAAATGCCTTCTGTGGCCATGTATTGTGACATTTTGCATATAATGCCTTGATATATCAATTCTATTAAGGCATTTTCCTAATAGTGCCTTGTTATCTATATCCTTTTAGCTATATTTTCTTGTAGTGAGTAGAAGAGAAGTGATTTGGGATTTCGGATTCAAAACATGACAGAACTATTGATATTCATGACTGAACTAATCATGATTTATTTGTTGAAAGAAAAAAATAAGCAGAAATATGGTACAGAAGCAGGATGGAACTTGCTCTGATACCAAGAAGAAAAATAAAATATGAAGAGGAAAAAAAATATGAAGAACATCAATAAAAGAGAAACGAGAGGTGAATTAATTGAATGGCTACATTATAATTGACTTATCTCCAAAATAAAGAACTAATGTCATATTTATAGGCATTCTCCATTATTAGATAAAAATTACTACACTATTAGATAAAAACTACTCTTGATAATCATTCTTGATAATTTTTCAGGAATAATTATCAGTAAATTAAATCTTCCCTCAACTACTATTAATCATAATCTTTAATAATGACTTTCAAAGTTATGGACGTATACATGGAGTCGGAGTAAGTCGATGCTCCCTGCATTTCTCATCTCTTCTTTGCTGATGACACTCTGCTCTTTGAGGACGCAACAGAGAATGGAGCTCGCTACTTGAAATGGGCCATTCAACTTTATGAACGTGTTTCTGCTTAGAGAATCAATATGGAAAAATCCGGAATTCTGTTCAGTCCAAATAGTGATGCCTTAACTAGGGTTCAGTTTGCAATATATTCGGAATTCCACTTGTAAATACCCATGCCAAATATCTAAGACTGCCTTCAGTGGTCGGAAAATGCAAACAAGAGGTCTTCTCAAGCATAAAGGATCGTTTCTAGCAGAAACTTCAACGTTGGAGTTCCAAAACCTTATCTAGGGCCGGCAAAGAGGTTCTTATCAAGTCGGTGATTCAAGCAATCCCATCTTATGCAATGTCATGCTTCATGCTTCCTGATAATATGTTATATGAGATTCAGTCGATGTCCATCAACTATTTTTGGGGAGACTCAAATGACAGAAGGAAGGTCCATATTGGTCCTCTTGAGTGCCATGTCTCACAAGAAGAAAAATGGCGGTCTTGGCTTCCGGAATCTTAAAGCTTTTAACATGGCTATGCTGAGTAAGTAAGCTTGGAGATTGCTGACTACTCCACATTCTTTGCTTGCTAGGGTTTTGAAAGCTAAATATCACCCAAATCAACGTTTCTTTGAAGCCAATCTTGGAAGAAGTAGACATGGCGTAGTATACTGGAAGGTCGTAAAGTCTTGGAATCAGGATGTTGGAAACAAATCGGGAGTGGGGAGCAGACGCGCATATGTCAGGATAAATGGATTCCATTGGAAGCTTTGTTTCGAACTATGATAGTGCCTTCTTTGCTGTCAGCTGAAGCAAAGGTTTCTAATTTATTCCTTCCTGATCAAAGAGGGTGGAACCGTGATATTGTTCAAATAATTTTTCCTCCGGATGAATTGGATGCTATTCTGTCTCTTGCTTTACCTCATACTCAGTCCTAGGATAGCTAGATTTGGCATCTTACGAGGAAAGGCAATTAAATCTGCTTATTTTCAACTCTAATACTCTGTTATACCCCAAAATAAATTTGGGTCCTTTTGACAGGCCGATTTGACCGTCAATCGAAGAAACGGAGTTGCCCTAATATTGGTCTTCGAATTTGAGAAGGAATAGCAATTATTATCCGGTTTGGTTTGCTTCCTATAATTTAGAGATAATATTTGAGAATTCCTATTTGGTTTGGGATTGATGAACGCAACAAGGGAGTATGCATTGATTTATTAATCAAATATTTCGATTGGCATTTGGTTTGATTATTAAAGAATCCTATCATGTTGGGGTGTTGACTTTGCATGGGAAAAGGACTCTCACGTGCTGCTTCCAAGTTAATAAGTAATCATTTACTTATTTATGTAGGTGGCCAGGTGTTTTTCTTCTAATGGGATTCTGGTTCAAGAAATCATGTGATCAATTAGAATACTACAAGTTAAGAGGTTCTTTCGGGCCAGGAAGCTTCATCAACCGGGCACATCTTTTCCTATTTAAGAGTCGCGCGAGACAAGGAGAAAGGGGATCTCCTCTCAACATCGATCATCATCGACTATTATTTTCTTTTTTTTTCTTTTATTCATGTATCTTTTATTCATGTTTTCATAGTTTAACCTAGATTAAATAGTTTTTTTACCTATTTTCCTTATAGAAATAGGTAGTCGTTTATCGTTTTCTACTTCAGTGAATTCGATTCTTCTTGTAATAGCGCATTATCGACGTTCTCCATAGCTAGTCGGCGCTATCTATCTCTTTTTTCCCATTTTAATGGATTGACGGCCACCACTCTTTGGCTTGAGCTCTTTCTCTATATTTTTTTCTTATTAATATTAAACCAAAATTAACCCTAAGTTCTCGATTCTAAGTCTGAGGCCAGTTTCAGAATACATCCACAATCGCTTGGTTTTGTATATTTTAGAGAGATTTTCAACCTTTCTTTCTCATGGGTTTAGGGTAATTTTTTCGGCACAAACATAATGACACGCCCAGTGGGACAAGCTATGGTTTGATTCCCAGATCGTGGTGGTTTTTCCTTCTAAAAATCTCTATTTTTAAATCTCTCTTTCTTCTCTAAAAAAAATAAATAAATTCTTCCTTTCGTTTTTTATTATGGGATCCGATCTTAGTAGCCCTAGGGATCCGATCTATATTTCTTCTCCATATAATAGATCATCTAGTGATCCCCAATCTCCATATTCTTATAGTCCATCACCACTTAGTGTGCATATCTCTCAACAGCCCATAGTTCCACATATAGGACATAATTCTTTGGGGCTGAAAATAATATCGGATGGCAGGCTACCCGTGATGGCCACTTTCCTCAATCTTATGGTCAACATGGCGCGAAACAGCAATCTAGTTGCATTGACGGACGGCATGACAGGTCTATGGTGCAAGATCCCTCAAGATTCGGGGAGCTGCCCGCTGTTGGTAATTCAAATACTACACATGATTTTTACAATATGCTAATTAGTGAAAACATGGTGCAACAGATACAGTCGCAGCAACTGCAGGTTTTGTCGCCGCAACAACAGCAAGTTCATGTGCAGGCACAACCACATCAGGTTATGTCGCTGCAGCATCAGCAACTTCTGTTACAGGCACAACCACAACAAGTTTTGTCGCAGCAACATCAACAAATTCAGATGCAGGTGTTGCAACAGTTGCAGTTACAGCAGGTAGTGTCGCAGGTACAGAATCTGCAGGTAGTACAACAAACTCAGCAGACGCAAGAAGCAAGTGAAAGTTCAATTGCAACAGCAGATCAGTTGCAAGAGAATTCTGTGACAGATTTATCGTCGACACCCGGAGGGCTACCTAGTGATTTTGATGCTGAATGTGACAAGCTTAGGGAAAGCCTGCAGGAAGAGTCTGAGTACCCCCAACAAGCATTTGTCGCTGCAAATGAACAGGTGTTGCAGCCATTAAATACAATTTCGGTGAGTGAATTATTGCCGATTATTGAAACTATAGTTATTACTGAGCATTGTGTGCATACTGATTCGTTTTGTTTGCCTAATGAATTTGTCATTGCTGAAAACGAGTTTGTTGAGGTTGAGTGCAGGAAATTTTGTGAGTCTTCGAGCAGTGACAATGATATTGAGGAGATTATTTGTGACAGCTGCGACAATGTTTTACCTGCAACTGATAATTCTGTTTGTCCAAGTATCGACGAAATTAAGGGCGAGCAAGAGCAAGGCCAAGTGGCAACTCCTGATGCCAATTTAATGAGAATCATGTAGCCTTCCATGGTGATTCTCCTAGTGAGGGGAATGAGCTAGTCCTTCATTCTAGTTTTGGAATCCCAAGTTTACTTTGCAGGCTAATTAAGGAAGAAAGGATGGATCTTGACTACCTATGTGATAGGGAGTTGGTTCAAGAGAGCTATGATCAAGATGATGGGAATGTCATTAACTTTGGGGTTCAAACCAAAGGAGATGATGACCTCACGGAAATAAGTGCTCAAGAGTATCAAGGAGTTTCACTCTAGGTGCTCCATGAAGATCATTGATCAAGCTAGAGAGAAGAATCATTTAGGTTCATGAATGGACGGCCTATTTGATCAAAGTGTTCAAGATTGAGTCCATTGCTACACAATTGGATAGGTTGCAAACTATCTTAATTGTTTCAAGTGTTTTTCCAATCTTTTGGAGTCAATAAAGAGAATTCTACAAGTTTTAGAGTAAATTGGAGTTTTCTACAACTTGAGGGGTATAAGACCAATATTCCACTTGTTGAAGGGCATTCAAGACATTTTACTTCAATAATTTGGAGCTAATTTTTGAGAATTAGAGTTTGTCTAAGTCTAGGAGTTATTTTCGAAGTTTTATCTAGTTAAATAAGTCATGTGGACTGAATTAAGCTAGAGTGTTTTGATTAGGAGTCTTAGATTCCTTCTAAGTATTATCCTATTTGAGGATAAGTCATTTACATAAGGTTTCCTAGATTTTAGATAGAGTCAAAGAGATCAAATACTCTTCTACTTCTACTCCTACGTGAGATAAGATTAGAGACTCCTAGTTGATCTTCTTTTCTTGGTGCTGGCCGAAAATTCTTAGCCTATAAATAGGGGGCATGGCCGAAAATCAAAAGCACCCTTGAGTGGTCATTTTTGTTGTCTCTTTTAAGAGTTTTTCCTGTGAGGAATTTTTGTTAAATGGAGTGTCCATTTTTCGTGTCAAGTATGATTTAACTAAGAGGGTTTTCATCTTGTCTTGGATCTTTTGATCTTGCAGAAACCGTTCTTTTTCAAGTATGCTTCTTGATAGAATTGTTTTAAAACAAAACTTCTTATTTTCATACTACTTCTAGTAGTTCGATTGATGAGCCTTTCTTTTGGCTTGATGTTCGAATTCATGATGGGTGTGTTCATGAGTTCCATTGTGGGGTTTGTCCTACTTTTGTTGGATGAGTTGTGCTTTGGCATAAGCATTTTGAGATAGTGTATGTGTTGCATATCTTTGTTGGTTATGGAGATTACTAATCAATAGTATTCCTTCATAGTTGAGCATTGTTTGCTCCTACCTTTCTTGAGTCTCTTGAATGATGACTGATCGAGTATATTGAATGGTGTCCTTACTATTCTTAGTGTGGGTGTTGTTTAATTCGAATCTTTCAAGGATAATGTGTTCTTTGTTTGGTTTGAGTTAAGAGATAGAAATCCTTAGATAAACGATCGTCTTACTGTGAATTTTCCGCACTCTTTTGAGTTTCACGAGATAGACAAATTATCTTCGTACTTTCTTGTTTGATGGTTGTATTAACGAAATTTGCTTCATCTACGAGATTGCTATCACAATTTATCTGTGACAGTTGAGCCGGCACAATGCTTAGTCGCTGATGTTCCAAAAGAAGCAGCAGCAGACCAACAGGTTGCAGTTTCTAATGATGGATTCCAAAATCGGCAGTGCAACAGTAGTGCTAAATTGGTTAATGATGCAATAGATTCCATGCCGGTTAAGCACAAGTCTAATCATGCTTGGCTTTATGACAAGAGACGTTCTGCCAACAGAAGAAGCAAGCGGAGTAAAGAGAAGTTAATACCGCATGGTTTTCACTTTGCAGAAAGGGTCGATGACGGTCCCCGATTACGTGGCATTGATTTTGATGGTGGCGACAGTTGTTATGCTTATTTGGATTATGGTGCTGCTATAGAATGGATGATTGATTTGGCTAAAGATCATGAGTTACTGAAATCCTTGATTGGCCAAGAAAAGAAGCGCTCTGCAAGAGATAAGTCGAAGATGCTTACACCTTCCGCTACGCGGCCTAGCAGAATCAATGCATTTGGGGCCGAGGTTGTTGTTGCTAAGTCTAGCAATGTGTCGTCTAAGTAATCCAATGTGTGGCTGACCAAGAGGAAAAGTATGTTGTTGAAGTGTCGACAATTGATGATAAGGTCGACGGCGATCAAGCAAGCTCTATTGCAGATGCTAGTAAGTTTTCGACGATTAATGAAGCACTTGAAAGTAGTAGTGCCACGTCAAGCTCTCAGGTTCAGAATGATAGTGAGTGCCAGAAGAGTGGTTCTCCTACACATGAGGGTCAGTTCCAGCATGCTCATAAGGATCGTCGCGACAATGTTGACTATCATACTTGGCATCGATGCAGTACAAGAAGTTCTGGCAAAGCAGATGATTTTCGAAGGAGACGTGCAACATCTGGGCGAAGTAAGCATACACCCCGCTTCAATCATTATGTTCCTCAATTTGCATGGGTGTCGTGCTACTTTGTTGTTCAGGCAGGTTGGTGCTACGTCGATGTTAGTGCAAGTTAATAAGTAATCAATTACTTATTTACGTAGGTGGGCAGCTGTTCTTCTTCTAATGGGATTTTGGTTCAAGAAATCATGTGATCAATTAGAATACTACAAGCTAGGAGGTTCTTTTCGGTCAGGAATCTTCATCAACCGGGCACATGTTTTCCTATTTAAGAGTCGCGTGAGACAACGAGAAAGGGATCTCCTCTCAACATCGATCATCATCGACTATCATTTTATTTTTTTTCTTTTATTCATGCATCTTTTATTCATGTTTTCACAGTTTAACATATATTAAATAGTTTTTTACCTATTTTTCTTATAGAAATATGTAGTCGTTCATCGTTTTCTACTTCAGTGAATTCGATTCTTCTTGTAATAGTGCATTATCGACGTTCTCCATAGCTAGTCAGGCGCTATCTATCTCTTTTTTCCCATTTTAATGGATTGACGACCATCACTCTTTAGCTTGTGTCACTCTTTCTCTATATCTTTTTCTTATTAATATTAAACCAAAGTTAACCCTAAGTCCTCGATTCTAAGCCTGAGGCCGGTTTCAGAACACATCCACAATCGCTTGGTTTTGTATGTTTTAGGAGATTTTCACCTCTTCTTTCTCACGCCTTAGGGTGATTTTTTTCGACATAAACATACTCTCCATAGTTTAGCTTCAAGTTAACTTTACATATCCCATGCCGGTAGGAATTCAAGGCCCTCTCTGGATGAAATTATGGAGCCAAAAGCTTCCGAACAGAATTCTACGATTTTCCTGGAGACTTTGCACAAATCCTTGCCTACTCCATCGAATTTCGCTGCAAGACATGACTTTTAATGACACTCACCCTTTCTGTAGCCAAAATAAACTGACTAATTGCCACATCTTCTTTGAATGTTCTTATGCAGGCACTGAATTTTGCTGGATTATATCATCAATCTCTATAACTCCGAAGATCACTTTTGTGAACGATGCCGGAGAGCTATAATGTTGATAATCAATTTTCATCTACTACACTCCTTATTGCAGTGTTATCTGGCGTATGGCAAGCAAGGAACTCAGCAATATTCAAAGAGAAGTGCATCTCCTAATGGTCAGTTGTGCTTCAAGCGAGTAGGATAGTTCGAGAATTTACTGTAGTCAAAACGAACCCTTAACGAAGTGATCTTGACCTACAATGTTTGAAGCAGCTCTTCTTACCTCCAGGCAGTGCTACCCGTGTTTTCTTTGATGGCCCTATATCCAAAGCTAACAAATGCGCTGGTGCTAGAGTCTTCATTCAGACATTAAATGGGGAATTAATGCATGCTTTGGCAGGACAATTTCCAAATGTGATTGATTCTGACTTAGCTGAGTTCTTGCTCTTCGTGAAGCGTTGCTGTTTTGTCATAAATTGGGTCTCTCGGATGTGGTTGTACAAGGAGATTCATCGAGCATTATATTGGCTGCAAATAAAGACGTTGATGGTCCTTCGGCTTGCTTCCCTGTCTTGGAAGATGTAATTTATATCTGCCAAGATCTTCCTATTCGACACTTGTCATGGATTCGTAGAGATGAAAATGTAATTGCTCATTCTTTTGTAAAGTTTGCTAAATCCTCTAATGTCATTGAAACAGTATGGAGTAATCCTCCAAACTTTATAACTCAATTGGAGTTGGAATTTTTCCAATAATTTATTAATGCAAGTATGTGTTTTTCAAAAAAAGAAAAAAGAAGTTATTAACATAAAACATTTACCGCACCCAATTCATGTTTATTTATCTAATTTTTTTAATTGAGAGTCAGCAATTTCATGCCACGTGTCCAAAATCTAATCTCTTTTAATATATAGGATTTTTAAAAGTAGTATTATGAAAGTGGGTTGAAAATGTTCATAGAATGGCAAACACAACGTCAATGTCGACCACAATATTGTAGTCTTTGGTATTGTTTTTGTAATACGATTGGTTGATTATCACAAGAAAAAATAAGAATAGAAAAATACTCTTTCGATCTCAAAATAATTATTCAATTTTTGTTTTATTTTTTATAATAATACAGTACTATAAACATGACAATTATATTGAAAAGAAAGGAATATATTTGTCTAGGGGTGTCAGTTAACCGGGTGAACCCGAAAACCCGTCCGAACCAAACCCGATCCGGGTTGAACGGGTCGGTTAATCGGGCCAAATCGGGGGATTGTGGGTGCACCCGAAGAACCGCATAGAAATTTCGATGCGGGTGCGGTTTAGAAAATCTTTTTCGGGGACCGCCCGAAAACACGATTAAGTATTTTTTTAATTTATTTTATATACATATATATAGTATTGTTTATATGGAGCTCCGGTTTTGGAGTTGGAAGATGACGAGTATGAAAAACTCATCGCCCCTCATCGATGGGATTTGGTGGGAAAATTTTCTTACGGTAGGTGGCTAGCTTGTCGAGGCACCCAAAATTAATCCGATAATCCTACCGAACTACAAAATTTGCAGTAGCAGCAGTACCAGGTCGAACCCCAAAGGAGCTAGATTTTTAGTTCTTAGTTTGACAATGTCCAAAAAGATTTCGTTTGTTGGTTTACTAACTACTAAGACAAAATAAAAATTACGAATTTTAAAAGCAAGGATAGGTAAACAAGGAGAAAATTCAATATCACAAAGGTTCTGACTCAAGGAATGGATCATCTAATTATTTCACAGATCATTGGTAACTAAAATTATTCTTGCAGTTCGAGCACTCAAGTTTAAGCATACTAGGATAGCCGTAGTAAACATAAAATTCTCCTAAATTAACTAACCAAATATAGCATTCAGTTAGCGCTTATCATTAAACGCTGTGCACGATAGCGTTCCATACAAATCAATAATAGCAATAAAAACCAAGGAAATATGCTTGAAACACAATTCAAGATTATTGAGATAGCTACAATAAATTAAATTATGATTTTTTAACCTACTCCTAGACATACAGAAGCATCCAAGTCTCACAAATACCAATGATCCACCTAGGTGCTACTAAATTCTAATGGTTCGTGTCAAATACGTAACATACAACCAAAAGATAGCAGTAAAAAGAAAATACACAACCAAGTTGTCAATTTTTTAATTGGTATTCACTTTCATAAAATTAAAACAAGAATAAAAAAATAACTCAAACCATAGACAAGATTAAATTAAAACCAAAACCTCACATGTAAAATAATTGAATTAAATCCCTTGAATCAGAAACAAAAGGTTTACCTACTCATAATCATGGACATGATAGCTAATTTATTCATAGAAAAATAGTACCAAATCTAGAAGAATTGAAAACCCAGAGAAACAGAGACAGCCCTGACCTCCAAAACCAAAAGAAAAAGCTGCGCACTTTTGTTGTTTCTTCGAACAAAAAAAACGGCGGCTAAAACAAGAAAAACCTGCGGCCTTTATATAGAATTAGGTCAGCCGCAACTATTAAAACAAGGGTCAAAATTGCAGAATTGGTCCTCTAACTTTTCAGCCTCTCAACAATTGGTCCAAACTTTCTTCAATGATAAAATTCAGTCTATAAAGTTTCTTATTTGCAGCTTCTTCTCCCAACAAGTTCAATACTTTGTAATTAGGTCCATCATTGGAGTAAACTTCTTCCTTTGCTCAAGTTGGATGATGTTTGCAGTCTCTTTTTGTATCAATTAGCTCCAAAAAGTTGTAAACTCCGCTTTCCAGCTCCTAACACAAAATATTAATAACACCTAATGAATTAAAACCCTCCAAGTCCATGAACTCATAAAATAATAACAATTAAAGCATAATTTATGGACTCTATCAAATTCTCCCACACTTAAGGCATGCTTGTCCTCAAGCATTAACGAACTAAGAATTCTAAACTTCCAACAAATTATTATTTATGATGCCTCTCAGGAACTCTAACACTCAAAAGAAATCATGGTAACAATAAAACAATAATTCACAACCGAATCAAATACATTACGTGCTTTTACCCTTTCGCCCTTTGTGTGTGTGTGTAAACCACTTCCTAGGGACATCAGTATCACATATAGCATAAAATAAAAAATTCAAATGTAAATATGCCACTGAAGAGTGAACTTAGGATCCTTAATTCAGACCGTACTTCAATGCAATGTTACTCCTACACATATTATGAAACCGTAGGCTTACAATTACACCTCACATAATACAATTCAACGCACTTCCCTCGTACCCATTCTTCGGTGTCCATATGGGTTTTCTTCAGGATCTTTCCCACTCAGGCCCCTACCCAGAGCATTTTTCCACTTGATTTATGTAATGATTTACATAGTGGCTCAGCAACTTAGGGCAGTCTACTTACTCATATTTTCTCACCGACGGGCCCGAGGACACTCTGCTAGTTGTTTGCCAAACTTCTAACCTATCAATGGGCTAGCATCAACATTGAATGCTCTTCCTTTTCTCCCTCTTTAAAGTGTACCTAACCTCAGAAAAGCATCCGCCAACAACCCTTCCCCCACACTTACTTAGCACAAAGTACTTTAAGCAAGAAGGTAAAAAGGCTATTTTCAAACCACCACTCCCCCGTTATTCGAGTTTGAAGTGATGATAGGGTTAATGCCTATTTTTGAGTTTCATAATATAGCAAGGTCCCTCATGCAAATGGTACAAATAATGAATGAATCAAATCAAACTTTGGCATATCACATGAATTTAGGCAATTACACATACATGTTAAGTTTATCCCAGAGTTATGAATAAAGTGCGCAAGTAAAGTATTCAGGGTATAACACATAATGCATAGATTCAAGAGAAATTTTTGTCCCAATTAGATTTTTTAGAGTCTCAAGTTAAGTTCATCATCGGCTATTTTTTTATTTTTGTGTTTAGATTTTTTTTTCATTTTTTTAAATTTTTTTTCTTTTTTTTTTGTTAACATAAGCAAACACTAAAATAATAAATGGAAAAAAAAAACTAAACACAAACAGACAACAACACCTAAAATCCCCCCCACACTTAGAACAAACATTGTCCACAATGTAGCAAAAAATATAAAATTGAAGAAAGAAAC